AGAGCTGGATGAACACAGCAGGCCAAGCAGCATCATAGGAGCTAGGCCCGAAACGTCAGCCTTCCTGCTCCTATGATGCTGCTTGGCCTGCTGTGTTCATCCAGCTCTACACCTTGTTATGCTAACAGGGCTGCCTGGCAGGAAAATGAATAGTGGCAGACTACATCTGGTGGTGCTTTGGGTAGATCCTGAAACAGGTTTAGCTTCCTGGTGGAGCCAGGAAGACCATAAGACCACAAGACTTAGGAGCAGAAGTAGGCCATTCAGCATATCAAATCTGCTCCACCATTCAATGAGATCGTGGCTGATCTGATAATCCTCAAATCTACTTTTTCCCATACACCTCAATTCTCTTACTGATTAAAAATCTATCTCAGCCTTGAGCATTCTTAACAACCCATCCTCAACAACTCTCAGTGGTAAAGAACTTGATAGATTCACTATCCTCTGAGGTAAAAGATTACAAAGATACAACCTCTCCACACTTATCCTGTTTGGTCCCTTCAGAACTTTGTATGTTTCAGTAACATTGAATCTACTCATTGGAGTTTAGAAAGATGAGAGGCAGAGTCATACAGCAAGGAAACAGACCCTTCGATTTAACCAGTCCATGCCAACCATGTTCCCAAACTAAACCAGCCTCACCTACCTGCACTTGGCCCATATCCCTCCAAACATTTCCTTTTCATGAATTGATCAAAATGTCTTTTAAGCATTATAACTGTACCTGCATCCACTATTTTCTCTGGCAGTTCATTCCATACACAAACCATTGTGTAAAAAAAACTGCCCCTAGTGTCCTTTTTAAATCTTTCTCCTCTCACCTTAAAAATACACCCCCTCATTTTGAACACCCCCACCCTAGGCAAAAGACCCTTGTCATTCACTTTATCTATGCCCCTTGATTTTATAAATCTCAATAAGGTCACCCCTCAAACTCCTATGCTCCAGTGAAAATGTCTCAGCTTTTCAAGTCTATTTTTATATCTCAAACACTCCGCTGCTGGCAACATCCTGGTAAATCTTTTCTGAACTTTCTCCAGTTTAATAATATCCTATCTATAATGTAAGTGCTGGCAGAAGTATTCAATTTCTACTTATAAGAAAATCCCTTCATAATTGAGGTCAACCTAATGAACACTCTCTTTACTTAGATTTGGGGACCAAAACTGTTCATGGTATTTTAGCTGTGGTCTGGCGAATGTCTTGTATAGTTTTAACAAGACTTTCCTATCTTTATACTCCATTTCCTTTGAATAAAGGCCAATATTGCATTTGTCTTCTCTATTACCTGTTAAACTTGGATGGAAGCTTTCTATGATTCATGCATGAGGATCCCCAAATCCCTCCAACATGCAACTTTCTCTATTTAAATAATATTCAGTTCCTCTATTCTTCCTGCACAAGTGCATAAGCTCACATTATATTTGCCAAGTTTCTGCCCAGTCAGATATCACTCATAGGCTCTGTAATCCTTACCACTTGCCTTACTCCCACTTATTTTTGAGTCATCTATAAACTAGCATTTTTACTTCCCTTATCGAAGTCAATGACACATACATAGTAAATAATTGTGGCCCCAGCACTGATTCCTGTGGCAGTAGTTACAGGTTGCGATCCTTTATCCCAAATATCTATCTTCTGTCAGTTAGCCAATCCTTTATTCATACTAATATACTACCTCAACCACAATGGGCACTTATCACATTCAGCAGCCTTATACGTAATACCTTATCAATTGCCTTATCTAAATATCTTGTTTTAATCTGTACCTTATGAACAGCACTCTTGATTAACCGGCAAAAATTATATACTTGAAGTTTACCGTATTATTGTGATTTCCGAGTAGTCAGTTGAGAAGTCTGTTTGCCAGTAAGTTTTATTTAAGGCAAAGTTGCATTATTATTTAAGTGATTTATGCTATAAATAAAGTATAACAGTGATGTGTATATCCCCAAATTATGTTTCTATTACTTAATGTGTTTTTATATTGATTAAGTGGACCTCTTGATCAACCAGAATAGATATCAACTGGCACACTTCTGGTCCCATAAGTGCCAGTTAATAAAGAGTATGCTGTATATCACATCCAATGGTTCCCCTTTATCTATTCTGCTTGTTTCCTCAAATATTTCTAATAAATTTGTCAGGCATAATTTCCAATTCATGAAGCAATGCTGACTGTGCTCAATTATATTATCTATTTACATAACCATAACCGTAGAATCCCCAGTGTGGCAACAGGCCCTTCTCTAAATGCTCTTATATCCTTTGTAACAGACTCTAACATTTTCCCAATTACAGATGATAAGCTTATTGGCCTATAGTTACTGGTTTTCTGTCTCCTTTTTTGAATTAGGGTGTCACATACACGGTGTCCCAGTCCTCTAGAACCTTGAGAATCGAGGGATTCTTGGAAGACTACTACCCAGTGCATCATACTTCCTTTAGTAGCTTAGGATGCAACCCCTCAGGTCCAAGGTACTTATCAGCCTTTAGCCCCATTAACTTTCCTAATATTTTATCTCTGGTGAGAGTTAGTGTATATATTTCCTTCTCATCATGTTTTCCTCTTTGTATTTTCTTGAATACTATTAGTGTCCTATACAGTGAAGATTGATGCAGAGTATATATTCAACTCCTCTACCATTTCCTGGTTCCCTATTACCTCCCAGCCACTATCTCTAAGGGGTCAATGCTCACTTTGGCCTCTTAATATTTCTTGCTCATTGGGATGTATTTTCTGAGAGTCATGAACTATTTGCTTAAACAACATCTGCAATTATTCATTACCAGTCTGTTCTAAACTCGTCTTCCAGTCCACTCAAATAACATGGTCCTGATTCTTTGTAATTAAGTTTAGCACAGTTGTTTCCAACCAAGGTGTCTCACTCTCAAACTGAATGCTAAATTTTACGATGCTATGGTTACTGTTTCCTGGGGAATCCTTTAGACACAGGTTATTTATTAAACTCTCCCCATTACACATTACCAGATGCAAAATGGCCTGATCCTTGATTGGATTCACAACATATTGTTCTAGGAAATTATCCCAAATACATTTACTGAATTAGCTTCAAGACTACCTGTGCTAAGCTAATATTCCCAATCCACACAGAGAACAAAGTATTGCTCTCATTATCTTGATTTACTCCTCGTCGTACAATACAGCTAATGTTAGGGAGACTGCAGATAACATCAGTGTCTTCCTCCCTTTGTTATTTCTTACCTTTACCCATATTGATTCTATACCTTTCTTGCTACCATACTTATTCTGCCTGCACCAACAAAACTACCCCACCATCCTCTTGTTCCTGCCTGTCTTTTCAAAAGCCACATACACCTGACTATTTAATACCTAGCTGTGATCTCCTTGTAACCATTTATCCCTAATGGCTGCAAGATCATGTCCATTAGCCTCTAGTCCAGTTAATTTATTTTGTTCAAAATACAATATACATTTAAAGTAAGATGCCTTTTTCCCCATTTGACCCTATTTGCTGATTCTCAGAAATGTTTGTACACTCTGTCCTGTCCTGTACCACTCTGGGCATCCCTACCAAAATAGCTACCCTGCAATGCTGTCATATCCTTTTGTTTTATAAGCCTACATATCACCTCTCCAAATCAGTGGGAAGGAACTTCAGGTAAGTCTTAGAATAGGGAGGAGAGTACCATCAGCGGACAGGATGCTGAAAGAATTCTTTAGGGGCTGAGAGGAGCACACCTCTCAAAGAGACTGAAAGGAAGCCTATAGGGTATTTGGTCTGCTTGTAAAGATTGTACTGTAATTTAAGGAAACAGTGCAGCTAGTTGATATAAGTGCTGGCTTAGGTAAATATTGGGCTTCACTGAGTAAGGTAGGCAAGGTAAGATTCTTTCATCTTTCTTAGTGTAAAGGGGCAGACATGGCAGTGGTGTGCCCTCCCTGCCAGATGTGGGAGATCAGGGAGCAGTATGGTGTCCCTGATGACTATGCCTGGAAGAAGTGTGACTGGCTGCAGCTCCTCACAGACTGCATTGTTTGATTGAAGCAGCAGTTAGACACACGGAGGGAGCATACAGGGGGCAAACAGTGTGATAGACATTAGTTAGAGAGGTTCAGTCAAGTAGATGGGTGACTGCCAGGAGAGGCAGGCAAGTAGTGCAGGAGTCTCCTGTGGCTATTCCCTCTCTAACATGTATACCATTTTGGATACTGTTAGGGCGAATAGCCTCTCAGGGGAGTATAATAGCAGCAGCCAGGCCTGTGACACTTCAACTGGCTCTGCAGTAGAAGCAGGGTTGGGCAAGATCCAAGTGAGCGATAGTGGTCAGAGAATCACTAGTTAGGGGCACAGAGGCATTTCTGTGGCTGCGTCCAAGACTCCAGGATTGTGTGTTGTCTCCCTGGTGCCAGGGTCAAGGACATCTCTGACCAACTGCACAAAATTCTTAAGGGGGAAGGTGAGTAGCCAGGGATCCTTGTGCACAATGGTACCAATGACCTAGGTAGAAAGAGGGATGAGGTCCTGCGGAGTGAGTACAAGGAAGCTAGGAAAGACACTGAAAAGCAGGACCTCGAGGGTAGTAATCTCTGGATTACTACCAGCGCCACATGCTAGTGAGGCGAGGAACAGAAAGATAGGTCAGATGAATGTGTAGCTAAGGATCTGGTGCAGGGGTGACCTGTACAAGAGGGATGGGTTTCATCTAAACTGGAGGGGAATCAATATCCTCGCAGGGAGGTTTGCTAGTGCTATTCGGGAGGATTTAAACTAGAGTGGCAGGGGGCTGGGAACCAGAGGAGCAGGTCAGCAAGTGGAGGGAATGTTGGGAAGGTAGGATGTTAGGACTTGTAAATCAGAAAGAAAGGACAGGCAGAGACACATAAATGAACACTACGGTACTAGTGGGTTGAAGTATGTTTATTTTAATGCAATAAATATTAAGGATAAGGCATATGAGCTTAGGGCCTGGATCAGTACATGGGATATGATGTTGTGGCTATTACAGAGACTTGGTTGCGAGGGAGATAGGATTGGCTGCTTAACATTCCAGGGTTTCATTGTTTTCCATGAAATAGAGTAAAAGTTAGAAGAGGTGGAGAGTTGCATTTACTAATCAGGGAGAATGTTACATCTGTACTCAGAGAGGACATGCTGGAGGGCTCATCCACTGGGGCATTATGGGTAGAACTCAAAAATAAGATGGGTGCAATCATCCATTATACTATAGGCCTCCCAACAGTCGAGGAACAAATATGTAGGCAGATTATGGTAAAGTGTAATAAAAACAGAATTGTCATTGTATGTGACTTTAACTTCCCCGGTACTGACTGAGACGCCCATACAGCAAGAGGCTTAGACTGGGTGGAATCTGTTAAGTGCATCCAAGAGAGTTTCTTGCAACAGTACGTGGATAGTCCAACTAGACGAGGGGTCATACTGGACCTTGTATTGGCTAATGAACCTGGTCAGGTGACTGAGCATTTTGGTAACAGTGATCACACCTCTAAGATTTCAATAAAAACCGAAAGGACTGCGGATGCTGTAAATCAGGAACAAAAACAAAGTTGCTGGAAAAGCTCTGAGGAAGGGTCAGCGGATCTGAAACGTTAACTCTGTTTTTTCCTTCACGAATGCTGCCAGACCTGCTGAGCTTTTCCAGCAACTTTGTTTTTGTACCTTAAGTTTTCAGCTAGCTATGAACAAGGATAAGTCAGACCGTGTGGGAAGTACTAAATTGGGGGAGGGCAAAATATGTCATATTAGGCAGGAGCTAGGGAATGTTAATTGGGAGGAGCTGTTATCAGACAAGTCCACATTTGACATGTGGGAACTGTTCAAAGACCTGCTGGGGAGAGTTCAAGACTAGTCTATTCCAATAATGAAGAAGGATAAGGGTGGTATGGTAAGGGGGACACTTAAATAACGAGGGATATTATGAATTTAGTTAAAAAGAGAAAAAACAGCATAAGCAAGGTGTAAGAAGCTAAAATCAGATAGGGCCCGTGAGGAATTTAAGGAAAGCAGGAAAGTACTCAAGTAGGGAATTAGGAGATCAAGAAGGGGCCATGAAATGACCTTGGCAAGTAGGGTTAAAGAGAATCCCAAGGCATTCTATTGATACATTAACAACAAGAGGACAACTAGGGAGAAGGTAGGACCTCTCAAAGATAAAGGAGGGAACTTGTGCTTACAGCCAGAGAATGTGGGTGAAATCCTAAATGAGCAATTTGCATCGGTACTCACTCAGGAAAAGGATATGGAGGGATAGTGAGATGGGTGTGGAGCATGCTAATATGCTAGGGCATTTTGAGATCAAGAAAGAAGTGGTGTTGGATCTCTTGAAAAGCATTAAGATGAATAAGATCCCAGAGCCTGATGGTATCTACCCCAGGTTATTGAGAGGGGCAAGAGAGGAGATTGCTGGGGCCTTGACCAAGATCTTTGTATCCTCGCTAGCTACAGAAGTCCAGGAGGACTGGCGAGCAGCTAATCTTGTTCCTTTGTTCAAAAAAGGAAATAGGGATAATCCAGGAAACTACAGACCAGTGGTCTCACATCAGTGGTTGGAAAACTATTGCAGAGAATTCTTAGGGATAGGATTTATGCACATTTGGAAAAGTATGGGCTAATTAGGGACAGTCAGCATTGGTTTTGTGCAGGGCAGGTCATGTCTTACTTAGTTGATTAAATTTTTCGAGGAAGTGACAAAGGTAATTGATGAGGGTACAGCAGTGAATGTTGTTTACATGGATGTTAGTAACACTTTCAACAAGATCCCTCATGGGAGACTCATCCAGAAGATGAAGATCTATGGGATCCATGGTGACTTGGCCACATGGATTCGGAATTGGCTTGTCCACAGAAGACAGTGGGTAGTGGTGGAAGGGCACTTTTCAACACTTGGAGGATTATATGCATTGTTGGTCGCCCAATTGAAGGTTATACTTGCCATCGAGGGAGTGCAGCAAATGTTCATTAGGCTGATACCGGAGATGGTAGGAGAGTCTTGTGAGGACAGACTGTTCAACTGTGCCTGTATTCACTAGAGTTTAGAATAATTAAAGAGAATATACTGGAAGGAATAAAATCTAGTGGAGCTAGACAGACTCGAGGCAAGAAGAATGTGTCCTGTAGTTGCAAGTGTAAGCCAAGGGTCACAGACTCAGGATATATGGCAGGCTATTTAGGACTGAGATGAAGAAACGTTGCTTCATTCAGAGGATGGTCAAGTTGTGGAATTTGCTACCACAGAAGGCTGTGGTGGTTGGGTCACTGAGTTTATTCAAAAAAGAGACTGACAATTATTTTAGACATTCAAGGCATCACGGGTATTGACAGAAAGTGGGAATATGGCACTAAGTTAGAGAATCAGCCATGATCATACTGAATGGCAGAGCAGGTTAAAAGGTCTGAATGGCATTATCCTGCTCCTAGTTTATATGAATGTAAGGGCCACGAACTTCTAATCTTGTTGTGCCATCATTGTAAGTCATAAGCATAGGTTTGTGTTCTTCTGCCAGAAAGATTAAAACATTGGATATTTAGCTTTGAAGTATTTGAGTGAAAACTTAAGTTGTTTTTGTACTCAGTGGGGTGTGTGTCTGATGGTTTCTGAAGGATGGATCCTGTGAAGTAGGTGACACCCTTAACTTAACCCTACCAGAAGAGTTAAGAGTTCATGAATTAAAAATATAAAATAATTTGCATCATACTTACTTCTCCCTCTGTTTTACTATTCTCTTGGATGATTTTAATCCAGTTCAACATATCATCTCTATCTTCAGCTTGGAATAGGTATTCATAGAAATCGGATGTAGTCAGCCTGAAAACATTCTTCCTTTTAGTCTCACTGTATGAAATATCAATCAAACAGGCCTTAATACAAATGGGCTGTTCATCCTCACAATCATAAGTCACTGCATCTCTTTTATCCTTGTACAGGTATAGGGAATGTGATCTCAGGACAGCATACACCTTTTTCCAAGAACGAATGCTGCTTACAACTCTCTGTTAAAAAGAAATAGAACAATGATTAGTTTTAAATGACCTAATCTGTAAATAACACAGAATGACATTCATTTCAATACTCTACAAATAAGTATGCTTAGTGTCTGTGTACAGATAAAATGAAAAGTAGTATAAACAAGAGAAAGCTAAGGTCTTGTGAGCGATACATGAATAATTGAACAAGTGAAAAATCAATAGACCAACAAATAATGAGCAGAACTAATGCACAAGAAACAAATAAATAAATCATTAGATAATCCAAGAAAACGACTAAATAAGTACAGCATAACATAATAATACAAGTCAGCGGATCATATAAAACTATAATATCCTTTTACCCAAAATCATTTACTCAAAACCATACGTTTCTGATTGTGCAGAAAAGCAATTTATTGACCAATACAGCACTGCAACTAAAGGTCATGTTTGTAAGTAAGAGATCACCATAAATCAACAGCTGAGTTACATTTATGTGGGATTTTTCCCTATTTAAAATACTACCATCCTTCTGCACCACAGAAAAAAAAAAGTCTTAGATTTCTAGCCCATTATTGTTACTGCATTAATCTGAGGGATACGATGATAGTATTTAAGGTTAACATGCATAACGCTCCATCACAAATGGGTATCAATACTATTGATAAAATACTGCACTGATTTTCTGCATGGTAGTTATATTTTACGTTCATATAGTTAGTACTATGACAATGAAATGTGAGTTCTGTATGCATATTGCAACAGAAGGCCTGGGGTTTACCCACCACTGGCAAGGGAGAGGGAAAAATAAAGAATTCCCCTGATACATCAAAGAGGTGAGTGCTGGAAATAAACAGCAGAAAACAGGGTACTATTTTTGGGAGCCACTTTACAGGATCCTTGATAAAGGCTGTCATTTAAAAGTACATCTACCTTTCTCTTTAAGACTCTGGGTGGCTTGCTGTGTTTAAGAATACTTTCTAATTTATTTGCTGATTAGGTTATATGTTTAAGATGAGCGTAGCAGCCAAACTATTCTAAACAGAATTAATTCTCTTTTGGTAAAACACACATGAATGATTGTTTATTGATCAACTATTGATCTTGTAATAGGCATACCAGATTTTTAAATAACTAACAGCACGAGTGATATCAACGTTATACTAAATAAACAAAGAATATACTTAAATATCATTAATTTTTTTTTACTTTATCACAGAACTTTAAAGCTAACAAATCGCAACCTTTTATACGTGATTTCATAAACATCCACAAAATTTGCCTGCTTTACTCCCTTCTCATGCGTTTTTAAGCATAGAGTTATAATTTCGTGTTGCACTTACAATTAAATTGCTGGATGCTGACAGAGGAAACCGCATCCTACGCAGACTGACATTAAGTGTTCATACTTAGACTACCTTGTGGTTATATAAAAATATTTTGATGATTGGCTCAGGAAGTTATGATGCCTCAATATTGAATTACCTCACATTAATTCAATTCTGTAGATTCATAATATTTTTATTAATTATTTATTAATTTATTAACTATTTAGTGTCAATCTTAGATTCAAGATCATACTACACAACATACAAGGTAAATTGATAACAGTAACCTTATATTTTTCCAACAAAATATGACTGGTATAAATTGAGCAGAAATAACAAAAATGATCACAGAAGAATGTTGAATTAGTCAATATCATCTTGGGAAAAGCAGTAGCACTGAGTTATTATTTATAAGCAATTTAAGACTGAATGAAACAGATAAAACAGAAAGAGAAAGATAAAACAGAAAGTGTGGGTTAATTTGTTAAACATTTCCAAGGTGTATGCCTTTACATCCCCTATGTGTTGTCCACTTCCTGTGTGAAGAACAACTTCCCGACACCAGTCCAGAATTTGTTTCTTTTTTCAAAAATAGAGCTGGTTAAAAATGGAATGAGATTAATGATAGGTGAGGAAAGTTTATTCACTAATCCTGGCTTCTGGAATAAGGGAGACTTTCTTTGGGAGAACAATAAAACTCAAGAAAATTTGTGTTAATTGCTATGTTTCTCACATATTATGTGGTTCTACTGGATGCAAAATCTATACAGGAATTACAATTTCCTTTGAGTTGTGAGTTGTTTCTTGTTCACATCTCATTTATGGAACAAATTAAACTGAGCTCATGTGTGAAAAATAGGTATAATAAAAATATTTGTGTTATGCGTCTAGGTTCAGTGGTGGGCATGGAAGTGAACATTTCCACTTGGAGCAGGTGGGCATTGCTTGAGCAATAGGTGGTTCTCAGCTCATTACGTATGCAAGCACAATGGGTAGGGCAAACCTTATGGCAAAGCTAGGCAAGGTGATGATGCTCCTGCTGATATCTTAAGGAGTCAATCGTCTTGCCACCATATTTAATGGGCACCTGGACAAGCATTCATTACTTGTAAACCAGGAGCATCACTTGGACTCCAGGAGTTGATACCCGTAACTAAACATTCTGGCTGTTCCACCTCCTCCAGTCAACCTGCCGCCCTTCCCCGGTCTTCCTTCTCAGGGAAATATTAAAGATCTTTAACTATTAATATTTATCTCTTAATCAATTTGAATTAGTCATGTGTCTCAGTACTGCTGTGGGACCTTGCTGTTTGCAAACTGGCTGTCACATTTCTTACATAGCAATAATACTTAACTGGCTCTAAAAAAAACAGAGCATGCAAATTCTTTTAAAACACTTCAGTCTGCAACAAAGAGAACTTATAATCCATCAACCCAACTCTACATTTCTGTTTTCCAAAATTAGATTATCTATTTCACATTAAAATAAGGACAGAAATTACAGCTTTAAAATGGAGGCCAAATTACATTTGTGCATCTTGGCCAGCTTCTCTTGAAGATTATACGCCGGTGACTTGTTTCTTTCTTCTTTACAAATTTCTTACATGGTATGTGAATATTGCTAGAAAGGCCAACAATGTTTGCCAATCCCTCATTGACTTTAAGCTAACTGGGTCCCTCAGAGGACAGGTAAGACTAAACCACGTCATTGAAGATTTTGAGTCACATGTAAGACAGACCAGGTAAGGACAGCGACTTCCTTCCCTAAAGTGCAATCGTGAACATGAGGGGTTTTTTTATGATCACCATTGCACTAGCATTTTAATTCCAGATTTTACTGAATTCAAATTTCACCAGCTGTGGCAACAGGATTCAAATCCAGAGATAGTAGGAACTGCAGATGCTGGAGAATCCGAGACAAGGTGTAGAGCTGGATGAACACAGCAGGCCAAGCAGCATCGTAGGAGCAGGAAGGCTGACGTTTCGGGCCTAGACCCTTTATCAGAAATGAGGAAGGGGAAGGGGATTCTGAAATAAATAGGGAGAGAGGGGGAGGCGGATAGAAGATGGATAGAGGAGAGGATAGGTGGAGAGGAAACAGACAGGTCAAAGAGGCGGGGATGGAGCCAGTAAAGGTGAGTGGGGAGTTAGGAAGGGGATAGGTCAGTCCAGGGAGGACGGACAGGTCAAGGGGGCGGGATGAGGTTAGTAGGTAGGAGATGGGGGTGCGGCTTGAGGTGGGAGGAGGGGATAGGTGGGAGGAAGAACAGGTTAGGGAGGCGGGGACGAGCTGGGCTGGTTTTGGGATGCGGTAGGGGGAGGGGAGATTTTGAA